TTCATTTTAGTAATAAGGTTTGTTGAGAAAAAAACATTTAGTGTGTACACGGTAAATATTTGGACAAAACTGACTTTGAGTGTGCAAACTCTTCATAATTTTTACACGGTAAAATTATTGTGTCCAAGGGGGACATCCTCCCTTGAACGTTGTGAAATTACCGTGGTGACACAAAAAAAAGACTGTGAACATACAAATCTATACTACTGAATGGGCTCAAGTACGTGCTATGATTCAATATGTTTTCCGAAACACAGGAGTAGACATAATTATTTGTTCCAAGTTAGAATTTAGTGATGAGGAAAAATTAATCATATTCAAACAATGTCACGACTCCGTAACCGGCGGACACGTCGGAATACATAGAACCATAAAGAAAATAAAAACGCAATTTAATTGGCGATGTTTAAAACAAGATGTAATCGAATATATAAAAAATTGTGCATCATGTCAAAAGAAAAAGGTCACGAATAAAAAGGTAAAACAACCGATGGTAATTACGACCACTAGTTTTGAGCCATTTGAAAAAATATGTTTAGATATCGTTGACCCGTTGGTCACTACATTAGCAGGGAATACATATATATTAACAATTCAATGCGATTTAACAAAATACACCATGGGCGTTCCCCTCCCAAATCACCAAGCTAATACTATAGCCGAAGCATTCGTAACACATTTTGTATGCACACACGGTATACCACAAACCATATTAACCGATCAGGGAACCGATTTCTTAAGTAAAATATTTACCGAGGTATGCAAATTATTGCAAATAAATAAGATAAACACAAGTTCTTATCGCCCGGAGGCCAATGGAGCCTTGTAGAGATCACATAGGACATTATCAGACTACCTTAGACATTATGTCGATAAGAAATTAAACAATTGGGATGAGTACTTGCCCTACGCATTTTTCGTTTATAATACTACGGAGCACATCAACGGGTTATCAACCATATTCTCTACTATACGGTAAACATTTAGAGATACCAATTAAGCTATCACGAGAACCTGAACCTAGATATAATTATGACAATTAATATTTTGATTTAAAACAGAAAATGCAGGAGGCTCATAAAATAGCAAGAGAAAGGCTAATAAAATGTAAAATAAAATCCAAAGAGAATTATGATAGCAATAAAAACCCTATAGAAATACACGTAAAAGATCAAATTTTATTACGGGAAGAATAAACTAAATCCATTATGGATAGGCCCCTATGAAGTAACCGATGTATTGGACAAGGAAAATATTGTAATAATGCGCGGGAAAAGACACGTTACGGTGCATAAAAACCACGTAAAAAGGTTCCACGAGAATCTGAGTTAAAAAGAGTAATCATATGTATAGAAAAAAATAATTAACATGTATGTAATTAATAATAAAAAAAAAAATATATATGTATATAATAAATAAATAATTATAATCATAATCATAATTAATAAGTATAAACAATGAATTAAATAAAACGCTATTAAGCGAGAATAATTTAAAATAACGTATTTAATTTTAGTGCTAAAAACAGGAGATTTATAAATGCTAAACGAAATTTCATTTGATCAATTTATAACAACTTAAATGACCAAAATCGATATTAGTATCTTGTCTTGTTTCCAGATAAGACAATCACACGGAACCTCAAGATTATTTTAATCCACAACGCGTAACCTATAAACACCGTATAAAATACATAACAAAATGCCAACACAAGAATTTATTTCTAGACGGGTATTATACCTAATGATGTTAGAATACTCGTTGAGGCACAACGATCACGTAAACCAGTACATAATAAACGATGAAGGACCTACGTGTCTAAGAAACCATATGAGAATAGCCAATGAACATTTACCTGTACCATATACTACAGCTGAGATGAATAGAAATAAGGAAATAATCACTATGACTCTCCGTTTAACAATTTTAGTACGCGAAATACACGCACCCACATGCCTCCAATTGGCAAATTTAATAACCGAACTAATACAAGCCGCCGAGACAGCTGAATAAAATTCATACAAAGGAATAATTTATTAATATGTAAAGTAGAACTAATATCTCATAATGTAATATTATTATCCGAATAAAATTATCTCACAAATACAATTAATTATATATTTTTACAGTGACAACAAGTGAATAAATAATCTAGTAATTACTAATTAAAGAGTGAAAATACAATAGTGTAGACTATACCTATAACTGGGAATCAGGGGGTTGATAAACTCTTCATAATTTTTACACTGTAAAATTATTGTGTACAAGGGGAACATCTTCGGTTGAACGGTGTGAAATTACAGTGTAAAAAGTGTGTAAATTCTTCATAATTTTTACACGGTAAAATTATTGTGTCCAAGGGGGGTATCCTTCCTTGAACGTTGTGAAATTACCGTGGTGATACAAAAAACGGACTGTGAACATACAAATATATACTACTGATATATCCAATAAAATAGAACAAAAAGTTTTAATCAATTTAGGGTTCCTTATATTTATTTATTTTTTTAATATAATCTAGAAGTTTCTTTATTAGTTTACGAACATTGTGACAAATAGGTTGGGAAACACTGTTCTAAAATCCAAAGCTGTACAAAAACTAGTTAGAACGTTACTTTTAAATAACTTTTTTAACTTAACTAGTTACTTTTAATTCATAATAACTTTGTGACTTAACTAGTTGAGTTGAATGTGTCCAATAATCTTATCCAACTCATTAAAAAAAAAAAAATAAGTAACCAGTTTTTTTGTAGTTTTTTTTCATTCCAAAAATCCAAATGTTCCTTAAAACTACTAATTATATTAACTATAAATTTTATGGTATAAACATTTTTCTTGTTGTATTATTTCTTATCAATTATTTATATCATAGTGTTAGTATATTTCTTATTCTGTTAATAATTCTGTGTTCTAATGACTTTATTTTTTAGAAAACAAACAAATCAAAAACACTGATTACATTTAGTTAGTTTTTTTTTTTTTTAAATGTGTTTTCTCACCTCCTTCAAATATTACTTGTATATTATATATTACTATTAAGAGGAAACATACATATTAGGTGAAATTGAGACTAATGTAGAATAATAAAAAAAAAAGAAATTTTGCAAATACATGAGATCGAATTTACATTTTACAAAATTCTATCAATTCTTAAAAGTTAGTTTACTGCAATATACTCTGCCTCACTAGAGAACATGCCGGTTCCGCGCATCCCTCTACATCACCCTGCTGACGAAACTGGTTCCCCTATGACAGGGTGTCTCGTGGGGCACTAGTTTTGGATGGTGCGTGGCATGATCTCTCGTGGGACAGAGTAGGTATAGTATATTATTATAGATGTTAAAACCATAATATTTAAGGTCGAACAGAACCCGAACCAAACTTTTCTCTAAATTACGAACCCGAACCGTTCCGAAACTATACACTTTTTATCGAACCCGAACTGAACCGAACTCTTCAAATATTTTATCGAACTCAAACTGAACATTAAAATAGTAAAATTGAATATTATTTATCACTTAGCCACCTTCCCACAGAATTATTGACTAAAGATTTTAGATTAGTGAGACCTAATAGAAACCTTATAGAACTGACTTTTATTTTTATTTCCCTGGTTCGATTATCAAACAGTTCGTAACGTCTCTATATATTATGTTAATTTTAATAATGCTTTTTTAAGGTTACAAATATTTTTATTAAGATATTTGACATATCTCAACTAGTCAGCTGCTATATTCATACGCCTTCCAAGTCCAAAAGACTTTTTACAATTTGTTTTAATTATATTAATGTTTTTTTATATCTAGTATTATATTCATATGACTGATATTCCAATTCGTTTCCAAGAAATAGGGGTTATTAGTTATTACTTATTACCTACCTACTTGAAAGTTGAAACACTTTATCAAATTACCAGTTGTTCAATAAAATTCTTCTATTGTCACCAATATTTCAATAATTTAAGTCAGGTACTGAAACAGTCAAGGCAGTAGTGGTAGGAGGGTGACTTATTTTTTAAAGTAGAACAAGAGTTTTTATATTTTTAATGTATAAATGATGTGTCCAGTATCCATACAAAATTTTTTTTTAGATTTCTAGTCATTCAGTGGCAGTCAGTTGTGGTTTTGTTGTATTTAATTAAGGTAATATTATTATTATTATTATTATTATTATTATTATTGTTCCATATTATTAAACTATATTTGTTTGTTTTTTTAGGTTGACGGAAGTTGACAGAAGGTTGCATTCATTCCTAGAAGTCGTAGAAGTAGTAAAGTAGTAGAAGAAGTTATTGTAGTTTTTTTTTTTTTTTTTATTGTATTGTAATTTTTTTTTTCAAAATGGGACGCCTATCAAAACGTGCGCTAAAAAACAAAGAAGCCAAGTCACGGTCCCGTGACAATGAAAGTTTTCGTGTACAAGAACTTGAAAATGATAATTAAGAAAACGGTTATATCTTGCTTCACAAGATATTACAAATCAAAAAAAAATTCTTAATTTGAAATGTACAAAAAAACGATTACTAGATCCGGTGAATAAATTAAATAACCAGATCACCAGTCGTAAAAACATGGACATACGACTGCAAGATCCGGCGAATAAACTTAAAAACCAGATCACCAGTCGTTTAAACATGGACAAACGATTGCAAGATCCTGTGAATAGAAAAAAACACCAGGGGGCCTATTCTCAAAGGTATCGAAAACAGTTTTCGATGGAAAATCAGTCGAAAAGACTGATGGTTTCGACATTTACAAAAAAGACTATTCTCAAACGGTTTTTGACTGTTAATTCGATAGTAGTTTTCGACTATTTACAACGACAGCGGATTATGAGTCGAAAATGGTTTTCGACACATAATTTCCAATTGAATTCCATTGTTTATCAGGTTTAATATTGTTAAACTGTTAAATATATTTTATTTCATTGCCGATTTAAAATACTTTTAACTTTCTTAGTCATTTTTTCTATTACCGTTAATAGTTATACTAGTGTTAGTTATGGCATTTGTTGATGACGATTTAGAAATGTATATGCAATTGAATGGCATAGTAAACATGGAAATCGTCAATTTTATTGACGATAATGAACCAAGACGAATATTAAAACAAGAAGATCCTTTTGTTGGTAGGTCCAACCTTTGTTATAACTAATAGTTTTTATAACAAAGGACAAATAGATAGTTTATTATTCATATCAATTTATTAAGCGGACTTACTAAAATCCTTTTCTTTTAATTTTATACTGTTGACTAATTTAAATTTGGAACCAAACATATTATTTCTTTCAGAATTGTCAGATCGGAAGTTTATTGGTACTTATCGTTTAGGTAAGCAATTAGTTGAAGAACTTATAGATACATTGACTCCTTACATGAATAGTCCAATGACGTCTTCAGGGATAACTATAAAAAGAAAAGTTAGTTGCTATCTATTGATTATTGAGCATAGGCGCAACTAAGGGTAACAATGCTTGTGGGGGGGGGGGGGTGCTTCTTCACAATTTTGTTAAGTAATTCAGTCGATTTTTAAACAAAAAACTGTGGGGGGGGGTTATTTGTAAAACTGGGGGGACTTAGCCCCCTCCCCCTAGTTGCGCCTATGGTATTGAGATTAGGCACTATTAGTTTGGCTATAATGACTTAGTAAATAATAATCAAAAAATATTTTCATTTAAGGTATTAACAGCTCTAAGATTTTTTGCTAGTGGGAGTTATCAGCAGGATATTGGGGAACACAGAGGTGCAGCCCTTAGTCAACCCTCAGTTAGTAGATGTATTACTGAAGTTGCAGAAGCATTAAATAATCCTATAATATTAAATATATACATACATTTCCCAAGCACTATAGAACAACTTAATATTATTCGACAAGGGTAATTAATTTTTTTTAATTTCTTAATTTAAGTATTAAGTTCATATAGGTAGTACATGATTTAGATTTTACAACAAATTTGGAATACCAGGAGTTATTGGAGTTATAGATGGAACTCATGTGGCTATTGTACCACCCAATACCACCGATGATGTATATCCAGAACATATATATGTTAACCGGAAAGGTTATCATAGCATAAATACACAACTTGTGAGCTTATAAAATATAAAATATAATTTATGTTTGGAAGGTATATTATTAAAAAAAAATTCATTAGATATGTGATTCCGATTTAATGATCTTAAATGTATGTGCTAAATTTCCGGGGAGTACGCACGACAGTCATATTTGGCGTCTTAGCCCTGTAGAAGGCCTTATGAAACATTTACATGCAATTGGACAAACATCATACTTCTTACTAGGTACACAATCTCAATTTTTTTTTATTGTTAACATTTTTGAAGTTTTTAATATATTTTACTGGCAGGGGATTCTTGATATCCATTGAGACAATGGTTATGGACTCCATTGTATCAACCACAACCAAACACTCCAGAAGCTAACTATAATAAATGGTTTTGCAGAACAAGATCAATCATTGAACGTTGTAATGGGGTTCTTAAAATGAGGTTTAGGTAAATTTATATATAATAGTATAAAAATAATAAATGTAATAATTAATAGGGCTATTTACTTTTTAATATCTATTTTAGATGCTTACTTAAACATAGGGTACTTCACTACTCACCAGAAAAAGCTGCCAGTATAATTAACTCATGTACCATATTACATAATATTAGCATTTCTAATAAAATACCAATAATTAGAAATATAGAAGACTCGACTGATATAGATTTAGGTAATATAGACAATGATCCAGAAGTTGCACAAATAGTCAACAGAATTAATCCAGAACTCACTGCTGGAAAACGGATGCAACAAACAATATTTTCAATAAGTCCAGAAAATTCACAAATTATTATATACCAATAGTGTAAGAAATAACAATTTATATTATATACATTTAAATAAACAAATCTTATAAAAAATGACTTTGCAGAATAACAAAATAAAAAATAAAAGTATCTTATATTCAGTCTGATTATATTAGTTTCATTATCACAAAATTAAAACTAAACTAAAAAAAACAACTTTTTCAATACAATGTAATAATAATATACATATAGTAACGATCAACAAAATAATATATTTTTTAACAAAATGTTATAAACTTATAAATACTAATGATTAATTTTTATCTACATTAATCTGCATATTCATTTTTTTCTCCATTATTGCTATTTTTTTTTCTTTTGCAATAGCAATTCTCTCTAAAAGAACTAACTTTTTAGAGCAATAATCTTTTAGAATTGTATTCCTCTCATCAAATGTATTGCCAACTTGAATAGAAGCTTTGACCGATTTTTGTAGAATATTAAGTTTACTAGAAAAGGTTTAATTGAATACTCACATAATGTAATATACTATATGAATCGTTAAATATAGAAAGGGCACATGTACAATATTTTACAAAAATCACTTAATTGCATGATTATCAAATTTAATATTAATATTTTATATGCTTTTTACAAAAAGATGCATAGAAAAATTTCAAATTGCACTAAAGTAATTGTAGATGTTTCAACTAATATAAGATTTAAAAATATGTAAAGTAGAAAATAGATTTATATTAGAGTATTAAGCAAAAAATAAGTAACTCCATAATAACAGACTTTCACCAGTTTATCACTTTAATTTTTTTGGACATACCTGGTTTTACCCTACCATAAAACAATATTTTTGTATCCATAAAACCTGTAACTTTAGTTTCATCTACATAAAGTTTAAGTTTTAAATTCCCTTAATAATTAGAAAATAATTTTAGTTTTTTTTTTAAAAAATAATGAATAAACTGTTAAAAATAAAAATGAAAACAAATTTAAAAATGAATCAACATACTTAAAATTACAGATTGTTAGGTACCAAACTTAGCACTTAATACTAATAATACTAATGCAATACAAAATTTACAGGGGACAACGCAACAAAACATTTATAGAACCAATAATGTTTTTAAGTAAAAACAATGTAATTTCCATATAAATTCATAAAAATAATACCTTTTTTTACTAGTGAATTTAATACTATCTTCATTCTTTTGAGATCTATAAGCATAAAAATAGTAATTAAAACTTATTTTGTACATATAAAATAAGCAACAAACATTAGACACTTACATATCAATGTCTTTATTTAAAAATTCATTTGTAGTTGGCCTATAAAACATTAATTTTGTTCATCTAAAAATGAGTTAAAGATTTATTATACTAACATTTATAATTTATAGTATTATAATGATTTAAACACTTACATTTCCATGTCTTTGTGCAAAAAATCATTTGATGATGATTGAATTTCCTGTGGTAATATTTCAGTTGACCTATCAAATATTAATTTTTATTGGTGCTATGTACTGTAATAGTTATTGCTTAATAGAATATATACTAATGTTGTAATTAAAGAAAATACAGTTAATGCTTACAGCAAAATATTATCAGTAGTATCCATAACAATTTCATATCCCTCAAAAGTAATTGAAGGTTCCACTGTACTAGGGTGGCCAAAAATGGGGACATCTCCAATTAAAGTAGCAATTTTTTCTTCTAATGGAGCTAATTCTAATTCATCTGTTTTTCCACTTCCTCCCCCAGTTTTTCTTAAATTTTTTTTTAGATCAACGCTCTTTGTTTTTGCATTGCATTTCATGTCAGTCCAACACTAATTGTGTAACAAATAAAATGTTAAACAATAATTAGTAACTAATGAAATACTTATTGTTAATTAATATTTGTCAATACCTTTCTCCATTTATCTGCCGTTTTATTTGCACCAATCATGGAGTTTAAATTTGAAGCTATTTGTTCCCAAAGTTGTTGAGCATTTTTGTGGGTAAATTGTGAGTTGAATTTACCTTTTTTTAGTTGTACATTGTTCTCTAAGAATTCGACAAGAGCTTCCTTCTGTGCATAAGTCACAGACTTTCCTTTTATTTTTCTATCAGCCATAATGCAAATCACTTAATCGCTTATGATCCAATACTAGTTTAAAACTATACGTATAATGTAGATTTAAACTGTAAGACTACCTAGTACCTACCTATAAGATTTTTTAATTTTTATCATAATATAAACTTTAGTATCATGAAATAAGATAAAAATTTCAAATTTCATGGAAAAAAAAATAACTTTTTTAGATGATCGGAAACACTGTCGAATAAAATTTATTCGATTCATCAAGATTCGATAAATGTTTGAGAATACGATTGATCGAAAATTTGAGATCGAATCAATTATTTCGATCGAAAGTTGACAATCGAATAAATATTTTCGACAACCAATTTCGATTGATTTGAGAATAGGCCCCCAGATCACTTGTCGGAAAAATATGGACAAACGATTGAAAGATCCGGCGAATAAACTTAAAAACCAGATCACCAGTCGTTTAAACATGGATAAACGATTGCAAGATCCGGCGAATAAACTTAAAAACCAGATCACCAGTCGTTTAAACATGGACAAACGATTGCAAGATCTGGCTAATAAAGTTAAAAACCAGATTGCCAGTGAAATAAACAGATCAAAAAGACTGGAAAATTCAGTTTTCTAAAACACATATCAAATAAAGAACGCTCAAAACATGAAGAGGAGAAGAATACCATCTGATAGTAGTTTTAGGCAAAATATATCTAGTAAAAGAAAAACACCAAATTCTACATCATAGAAAAGAAGAGAACGGCAGAAATTAAATGAAACCAGGCAGAGGGAAGATGTTTTAATTTCTGAATATAAATTGAAAAGGTCACAAGGTTTATCAGAAAAATGTTATTCGTGCCATCGATTACGTTTCCCATCTAGTGTCAATAAGTGCAACTCCGATCTCCTCAGGCGATTAGGGATGTCAATTCCAAGTGATGCCAAGAGTAGTGTACAGATATGCACAAGCTGTCATCCGCATATGAAGAAATCAAAAATTCCTACATTGTACATAGGAAATGGTTTTGAGTTGAACAGTGTTCCACCTTCAGTTACTCAACTAAATCAAATTGAAAAGCAGATGGTCTCACTTAGATTACCGTTTATGAAAATATTCAAATGTCTCCGAAGTGATGGACAACTAAAAATCAAAGGCAACGTTATCAATGTTCCGATAGATCTCACTAAGACTACATCTATTTTGCCCAGACGTGCCGAAAATTTAGCTGCAGTTAAGATGATGAAAGTTAAATTAAAAAGAAAATCATGTTTTAAACAACAATATTTTTATCAAAATGTTAGACCGTCGTTAGTAGTAGAAGCATTGAATGATATTTTGATTAAAAAACCAGTGTATCAAGATGCCGAAATAGACAGAGATTGGTTAGCTCATGTCACAGAAACCACCAAGAGTATGGAAAATGGTTCGGATCTCGAAAGCGAAGGAACTGACGATGAAGATACAAATATCGAACCAATCAATCCGGGAACAATGGACACGATGATTGAAAACTGTGATTTTGTCTCTTTTGCTCCAGGTGAAGGCATGAAACCGTTGTCTATTCTATATTATTGATGATCACGCGGAAGAAAAATCTTTTCCTGATTTGTTTGGAGGGCATCCACGCAATCATAAATCGCCTCTAAAGAATTATTCAAAACTAGTACGATCTGAACTACTGAACGTAGATCGAAGATTTGCATCGGACTCTTCAAACTTATTTTTTAAATTCAAAGTATTAGTCCAAAAATGAATTGCTAGTAATGTGCAAATTGTTTTACGAAAAAACAAAAAAGGAAACACAACTGTTAATGACGTAGCAAATCCAGAAGTATTAAATAAAATGATAGATAACGATCAAGGATACCGAATGCTACACAACGTACAAAATTCGCCATCATATCTAGCTGCAATGAGGAAAAATGTTTTTTCTATGGTGCGTCAAGAAGGGCAACCGACATTATTCCTAACATTTAGCCCTAGTGAATCAACTTGGATTGATTTATTGAAGATTCTATACAAGCTACGTTACTCCAAAACATTACCTGACGACACTGAACTAACTTATGCTCAAAAATCAGATTTAATTCGACAAGATCCTGTTGTTTGTGCTACTTATTTTGACCACAGATTTAGAGCACTGTTCAAATTGATTAAATCAAAAAATGTAATTTTCAAAGAACACAGTGTAAAGCATTTCTTTTACCTGGTCGAATATCAGCATAGAGGAAGTCCACATGTACATATGCTATTGTGGTTAGACAATGCACCCATTTTTGACCCAGTCAAACCTGAAACGTTTGGTGCCTGTGTAACATTAATTAACAAATACATCAATTGTATGGTAGACGATAGCAGTCCCGCCCTTGAATATTTACATAAAAATACTCATAAACATACACACACTTGTTACAGGACTGACAAAGATAAAAAAATGAAAAAGTGTCGCTTCAACATACCGTATCCACCAATGAATGAAACCTGCATATTGACTCCGCTGAAAGCTGACAACAGTAATGCAATCACAAGACAAATTCGTATACAACAATATGAAAAACTTTTGCAATATCTCAGAGACTTCAAAGACTGTGACACATCTTCAGATCCGTCATTAGAAGATATTTTACAAAAATTATCAATAGCAGATGTTAATGAATATAAATCCATTATTCGAACTGTTATCAAACGGCCGACAGTTTTTCTAAAACGAACCATAAAACAAAGAATGATTTCTGGATTCAATGAGGAATTATTTCCGATGTGGAAATCTAATATGGACATACAGTTTATATTTTATGTTTACTCTTGTGTCAGATATGTAATAGAGTATATTGGAAAAAGTCAACGTGGAATATCAAAGTTAATGATGGACATTGTCGAGAATCTCAAAACTTCCACTGATATATCTGTCAAAGAACAACTGAAAAGGATAGCTTCCACATTTTCGGGTAGTCAGGAAA